AATGTTTGAAATTCCGAAATGTGGTGCATAGCGGCTGGCTCCAATAACACTATAGTGAGATATCGTATAGAGGGATAAGTGCTATTTCGAAATTTTTTATAATTTATATTAATGTATAATTTCAAGAATCATTAAAATTATTCTAAATCAATAACATTCATAATTAGCAACAAAAAGACAGGTGTTTTCAAAACACGACTAAACACTAGCAAAAGTCAAATGCAAGCTTTTCAAGATTGGAATTATCAATCCCCCATGTTCTAAATTAAAAGTCTTTTATATCGTTTTCGTATTTAATACATACATGTCGTTTTGAAAATTGAAATCCCACAAGTAACACTGAAGAAAAGCTCTGATGTATCTGTTCTAAGGTATTAACCCGTTATAGCACCTGCTATTTGGTCCGCTACACCTCTACAGTATGCTATTTATAGCCCTGTGTCATCTTACTAGTAATTTCGTTTATATCTTTATTTATTTCAGAAATACAGAGACAACCTTGAGATTGCTGCAGAACTTGCAGTGTCAAGCTTGCAGGTATTTATTTTCTTATGTGTATCATTGATCTTATTGTTTCTCCACTTCTGATATTGTGGTACTAGTTCTTTTGGTTCAATAAAGTCCGTCTATCATTCAAATTATTTTGAATGGTTTTTATATTACTTCTTACGAGCAACATGAGAACATGAGTGAGCCCACAATTTTTAATGAATAATTAACCGTTCAAGCATCACCAATATGTGCAGGCACTTTTACACAGGACGCTCAGTGACTACAAAAACGCTGGACATGATTCCCAGTCAACCAGTTTAGAGATCAGATTAATTCAAAGCCAGGATGATATTCGCAACCCACAAGTCAACTTTAAAGCAGAAATATACAGCTAAAGTGGCGATTTAATTGGAACATGTATGTATTAATGTGTATTATTATTAAAGAATGAAAAGAATTATGATAAATTGAGAAGGAAAGTTTATTTATTTGTTTTTTATTGATCAAATTTTGAAATGGGAAAGTTTTAAAATCGAATGATTACTAATATGATGATGAGAAAGTAAAAGAAATAGTCTAACTATTAAAAATTCTTATACATATTTTTAGGACATTACACACACATACACGAATATATATATATATATATATATATATATATATATATATATATATATATATATATATATATATATATATATATTAGGATCCAGATTCACCATGTCTGGCTTTGTCTGTATGCATTGATCATTCCATCAGATGTGGATGTTGATTGTTCTGAGTATGGGGGGAGACTATACTTATGTATGTTGGCTATAGAAGATGATTGATGACTATGTTTACTTGATGATGCTACAATGGCAGTCCATTTGTGGTTTTATTAGTCAAAATAAGTTGTTTCATTATTCTAATAATAATAAAAAAAAAAAAACTTGAGAGGTCTTATCATGGGTGGTATGTTCTCCCATGTAGCGTTTTCATTAATTATGTTGAAATTTTGTGGTTCTATTGTTGACATTATCCAAAAACAGTGGTGCTTCAAAATGATTTAATCTGGTTTTTTATATCCTGATTAAAAATCCATTTGGCTCCCCAGTGGTTTTCGCCAATGAAGGAGGGGATCCTGTCTGTGACAATTAACTTTCTGCTCTTATGCATTAATATCTACTTTGAACACACCAGGAGATAAACAATGGAAATGACTCAAAAGATCTTGAACCTTAAACAGGGAATAGAATTTAAAGGTATTATTGTTTTATATTTTTCAAATGTTCTGTTTTTTGTTATCTGACACTATTCTTACTGCCTAAATATTCATTCTAGCATCATTAGTATCTTTAATCATCACTTTTTGAAGAAAAAAAAATACACACCGGATTTGTCTAGAGAAATCTCTGTAAACATTTTTAGAAGAACAAATTAAAACTGATTTTTATATACTAATTTAATGTGTGCGTGTGTGTGTATATATATATATATAGTTTTATAATCAACTTATTGTTATAAATTATTTTTTATTTATGAAAAAGTTAAATTTATTTTCTTTATTTTTAATAGAAAAAAACAAACAAATACATAATCTTAAAACATATAACACCAAATGGCTTATTAAATATCAATTGTAGATTGTATTTTAGGTATTATATCTACTTAGAACTTTTATTTTTCTTTCTATTTTCAGGCCTTATTATGAACAGTTAAAACATATAGCCGGGAAAAACAGCAAACTTGCAATATCCGTAGATGACGTTTTTGTAACAAAGGTAGTAAAAATGTAGTGTGATTTTTGTTTGATATAATTGTTACATCTATGTTAGGAATAACAACTTTATAAAAGGATTGAGATAACTGATGTTTCATGTGTACATAAATATATTCCTTGTTAATAAAAAAAATGTTTATAAATAATTGAATGGTTCTTATCAATGAATATAGAATTTGGAAGATGGAAAATATGGACTTTACCTTCACAAGTTCTTGGAGTACTTTTCTTACTTTGTTCATGCATCATTGACAATTAAGGTGTGCTTTAAGAAGAGAGGTAAGTGAAAGATAAGTACGAACTCTTACACACACATATATACATATCAGATTAAATGTAAATAAATTTAGTAAGGGATTAAATAAAACAGTTTACAAGGAAGAGTGACCAGATGTAACTCAAAAGAGAAACCAGGTCCACTAGTGTAAGCTCACGACTTTCTCAAAAGAAAATAAAAGCTAACAAGTTCAGCCACAATAGGAAGAGTAAGAGAAGGTTGAAAAACTGTGTTTTGACTGAGCTTTATGGCTATTTTGACCCAGCTCAAAGACTCTGCACATTAAACACAGATATTGTGACAGTCACGTTGGATATGTAAACGCACGTAGGATTATTTTTGTTTACATGTATTTTTAAAATAAAATAAAAAATTAAAACTCAAATTATTTAGAAATTTATTTGAAGAATTTCTTTATACCAGTTTCCTCAAACTATTATTTCTAATTTACATAATTACTAATTCTAATTTATTTTCCTTTAAGTATTTAGGAAGAAGTTTATTAACTCTAACTTACCACTTTTGACTCTCTGTCAAACAATTGTAAATAAAGCATGAAAAATAATTATATCTAATTGGATAAACTAAACGTAGTAAAACCAAAATATATATATATATATATATATATATATATATGTTATATTAAATTTTAAAATGATTCAATTCAATTAAAGCTGAACTTATATATGTTTAATTTTCATTTATGAAATTATTATACGATTCATACTTGTATTATGACTGTTCCATTGTATAAAAATATTATACTGATTTATCCACCATAAATTCATTATCTCAAGTTGAACATTAGAAAGTGTATTAGTTCTATTTTGATATATATTTTTTAAAATTTAATTATTTTTTTAATATTTATAATCTAAATGTGATAATTGATACTTAAAATATGTTAAAGGAAATCAAATTTACAAATTATAAAACAGAGTAAGAGAATCCTTCAATGGCTCTTTTCAACACTATTTTTCTCATTGCTTGTTCTGGTCACGAGAAGCCAAGTTTGAGAAAGTATTCTCAAAGCGCAACAAATAGACTCATTCACAACTATAAAAATAAGGAGAGAATTTTCATCCTATAATATTATAGGGTTGACCCAAATTATGGCCCACTAATAATGGCTTCCCCTTAAACAATTGACGCATTATAATAATTTATAAATATTTTCTTTCTTTCTTTTCCTAATCTCCATCTCATGTTCTAAATCATCATAACTTGATTATTATTATTTGGAGCGAAAACTTTTATAAAAAAATATGCAACAAATACAATGTTTTCCGTTTGACTTCATATTCTTAAAAAAATATAGAATAATGGACAAGATAAAGTTTGGTTACGTTCATTCATTTAACTACTTTAATTAAAAACGCAGTGTGGTCCAAAATAAATCTTTCTGTCTCCTCATATTTTAGTGCATAAAAGAGGCCAGTCAAGGCATTTTAGCGTTCTTTTATATTATACTAAATAAACAAAAGGCACAACGTGGGTTAGTGTTTCTTGAATTGATATTTGACAAAGTAATACCGAATCTAATGGTCTAAGCGTGTATTTATTTTTAAATAATTTAAATTAGATTAACTTGATCTGCATGTCCTGAAACTGGTCAACAATTTTTAACTACGTCCTCAATCATTTTTTACAATTAAATCTCTAAACTTATATTTATTTTCTAATGAATTTCCTTCCTCCATTTTTCCCGTTACACACGAAGACGATATACAACAACAAAAAGAGAAAGATTTATGTGGGTCTTGCACTCAAGAAATTCTTCCATTCAAATTTAGACATAAACACTGTTTTTCTAGAAACGAAAGACAAAAGCACTTTGATTTTCTTTTTTCATTTACAATATTCATAACATCCATTTTTTTCTTTCTATTTGGAAAAAAATGGTTAAGATAACACTCTCTGTTTTAAAAATTGGATATTTCCATCATATTTCTTTTTAAAGGTTAGAAAAAAAAAAACTACTTATATAAACTAGTTTTAATCTTCGTTTCTAAACTATATGAAACTTTTAGGTTTTGTAAATGACAAATATTACCAATTTTCAAAGAGTTTTAGGTGCAAACATAAAACAATTACATTCTTTTTACTTTTTTATATCAAATAAAATAAATAAAAATAATAGTAATCTTACCATGCACATTTTTTCTTCAGTTATTTTTATTAAGACATCCTTAACAGGAGTGAGAGGAAGTCAAAGCAAAGCAATTATGAAGTCTTCCCTTTTTTCCTGCAACTTGCTCCCAACCAGAACCTACGGTGGCGGCCTCGACAACCCTGTTCTTATTAATCCTTCTCGATGGTCTAATAAAGTACATGAAATTTCCAAGAAAAACAGCCACATCAAAAACCATAACATAACATCATTCACACCAACACACCACAAACTTTCCAACTCAACTCAATATTGCCTTGTAAATTCGGCAGATAACAGACAAGTTCTTGCCTGACAGCTATCTTTCACCTCCAAACTTTCTTCCTTTCACACGTGCAACTCCTTTTCTTCTCTTCCAAGCCTTTCTTTCTCTCCTCCAAATTCAAAACTTCAACTTGTACCTGCTGCTGATTACACTGAAGAAAAAGATACAAGAGGGTATCTTTTTTATTTAGCTCTCTCTAGAACAGTGTTCATGGGTTGCTGCTTTAGTGCTCCTCCAAAGATCAAAGCCGAGAGCCCTCCACGTAATGGTATCATTCTTTTTCTACTCTTCCCACCTTCTTTTTCTTAACTTTAACATCTTCTTTCTGAACTGTGTTTGCTTATGCCGGAGACCTTTTGGATTGGAGTTTTGAAAGTTCCAACTTCGTGTGGTTTTGTGAATTAAATTTTGCTGCTTGTTTGTGTTCAATGTTTGACTCACAAACACCTTAGAAGACTTGCTTCGAATGAAGGATAAGTTATCAGTGTGCGCATCCAAAGCAAAATATAAAGACTTTGATTCAATTGGCACAGATTGATCTACCTTAAATAGTAGTCTGAAGTTTGAGTTTTTGATGGTCCTACCTGACTCAAATAGAATTGCTCTCTCTAAAAGATACCAGATTTCTTAATTAAATAAAAATAGAAACACTCTGGTATCAAATGAAAAATTTTATTGGTTGGAATTGCTTTCTTTTACTTTCAGTGAACTTGGATCCTCTGCACAGTTAAAGGAACTAAGGATCCGAAAATTGTTAAATTCAGTTCAAAATTATGAGTTTAACCTGCAATAAATAAAGTTAACGGGAGTGATTTATGCAGTTCACAAGAGAACTCGGCGAGATTATCTCTTCAACCATTCGTTTTAGAAGTTTAAACTATGTAAAGACCGAGAAAATTTTGACAATAGAGATGATTCCATCTTTATCTTTTTTAAGATGTTTTTGGTATGTAAGATTTTTCGTTTCCTGCCGCGCTACATAGGGAAGACTATGTATAAGAGAAGTATGAATTGAATTGCAGTCATAACATTACAGAGATGAATAGTAGAAAAATCGTTTCTGTACCACTTTGACTGTTACGGTTTTTTGAATGAAGCAGAAAGTAGATGTTAGTAGAGTGCTTGCCCGAAGTGAATCATGTTCTGTTTTGACATGGGCAGGTTTGAATTCAAAGGATGGTAGCAAAGAAGAGATTGATCCGAGTGTTTTAAGCGGCACGGTGTCGTCTTCATCTATGCTTCTAACTCCTCAGAATGAGGTTGAGATATTGGAAGCCTGCAATTTGAAGAATTTTGCATTCAATGAGCTAAGAACTGCTACAAGGAACTTTCGTCCAGATAGTATGGTAGGTGAAGGTGGGTTTGGTAGTGTGTTTAAAGGGTGGATTGATGAGCAGACACTTGCCCCTACTAAAGCAGGCACAGGAATGGTCATTGCTGTGAAGAGGCTTAATCAAGAAAGCAACCAGGGACACATTGAATGGTTGGTGAGTGTCTCACTTTCACTTCGCATGGCCTTTCACAACTTAGAACATTGAACAATGGTAAGGAGTTCCCAGACATGTTTCTGGTGCTGACCATTGTTTTTGTAATCTATGTAGCAAATGTTAGTAACACACACTCCTTCTAAATAAGAACTAAGAACAACAAATCTTGCTCAGTTAAGCTCAATAAATAAGAACTAAGAACAACAAATCTTGCTTGCAGTTTAGATATTTACTGTGAATATTGTAACTGATTAGCCTGTACTATATATGCAGACAGAAATCAACTACCTGGGGCAGCTCAGTCATCCTAATCTTGTGAAGCTAATTGGTTACTCCTTGGAGGATGATCACCGGATTCTGGTATATGAGTTTGTGGCCAAGGGTAGCTTGGATAATCACTTGTTTAGGAGTAAGTTTCTTTTTGAGTTGCTTTTCTTGTTAGCACCTTAAGCTCCTGAAAATCTCATATCTACCAATGTTTGTGGATCAGGGGCCTCTTACATTGAACCGCTCTCTTGGAACATCCGTATGAAGATTGCTCTTGATGCTGCCAAAGGGCTTGCATTTCTTCACAGTGATGAAGTAGATGTAATATTCAGGGACTTCAAAACTTCTAACATCTTACTTGATTCTGTAAGTGAAATCAAATTGATCATACAAGAGTAAGATATAGGTTTATTAGTTAGCCCTGGCATTCTAAAATTGGCTTTTGTGAATGACAGAATTATAATGCAAAACTGTCTGATTTTGGGTTGGCAAAAAATGGACCAGAAGGTGACAAGAGTCATGTTTCTACAAGGGTGATGGGCACCTTTGGCTACGCTGCTCCTGAGTATATTGCAACAGGTAAATATGGGTGAAAAATTTTCTGCATAAAGCTTTTTAGGAAAAGATTATCTTTTATATTATTAACCTTTTATCCAATTGTGTATGTTGTAAAGGTCACTTAACGAAAAGGAGTGACATATACAGTTTTGGAGTTGTGCTTCTGGAACTTATGTCGGGAAAACGTGCACTGGACAGCAACAGGCCGAATGGAGAGCATAATCTAGTTGAATGGGCGAAACCACTTCTGATAAACAAACACAAGATCTCCCAAGTCATGGATGCACGTATAGAAGGCCAATACTCTAAGAGAGAAGCAAAGAGAATAGCTCACCTTGCAATTCAATGC